CCCACACCCTCAAATTCATATATATTTTAGAAGATGGCTAGTTCAAGTACACAAGATTTAGTTGTCGATGGAGCAGAGTTGAGTCATCCCATAACAATCAAACGTGGCAAAACATCGCGCATATATCAAGTTATTGCATATCCAACACAATTGACAAGAAAGATAACAAATGGCTTCCTCGATGGAACAACTACACCGGATCCAAAAACAATGAAAAGATGTCGATGGCATACTGCTGGAATAATTCGATTTCATGTTAATCCTGAAACTAATCTGATTTATGAAGCACGACCGGATTTAAATGAACTCGAAGTAACACTTGAATGTCTTTTGGAAGAATCTCACAAGGAAGAATTAGCTATACGAGCTGAAGAAGTATATGGAACAGAGTTCTCAGCCGATAATTTTATCATTTCCCCATTTCAAACATTCATGGCACAATTGACAATCCGCATTAGTGGCGTAACGAGAACTTATTATGGAATATTGGATGATAACAAAGAATTGCATCCGATGCGAATCATTTTCAATATTGAAGATCGGGATGAAATATCGGAAATTGCTTCAAAACTCGATCAACCACGTGGTCATGATATTGTATTACGTTACGACTATAGTCTTAGTGGCACTTCCACAGCTCATGCTTCCTTGACAATCAGTGCTGAGGATGTGAATAAAATTGATTTGGAAAAACAAATATTTGGCAAGAGTCAAGCTGAAAAATTGGTGGTGAGTCGATCATTTATGGATAAAATCACAGCTAGCATTACAACGAAATTGAGGGTTGTGGAAGATATTGGAGTTGGTGGTTCATCATTCGGACAAGATTTAATTAGACAAGAAATTGCTAATGCCATGTCTGCTAGTGGTTTTCAAAAATTTAGTATAGATGATATAAAAGAAATGCAAAGTGCCGATACTGATATTACGGATGATTTAAAGGCAAATATAATTAATTCAGTATCATCAAGCAATGCCAATAGCTCAGAATCAACTGATCATACTTTGGATGAGTCATCATCAGCTGATTCATCAGATATTTTAAATGAAAAAAGTAATGCTAATCGCAACGCGGGAGGTCAGTCATCTGAATCATCAAGCAAACTTGGATTGAACGCAAGTTTCGGGGGTTTTGGCGGTGGCTTTGAGATGAGCAATTCAGATTCACAGTCCAGAAATTTTGACAATTCAAATAGTTCAGCTAATAAAAATCATGAACAAATATCTTCCGAATCATCACGTAAGAATGAAAAATCAGGTAGTAAAAAAAACTCCAATTCGAATAGCAATGCAGTTCAAGGTCAAATCAAACAAACAAAAAATATTGACGCGACCATCGTTCATCGATCCGATATAGTAAAAGGTTTTAATATTTCGTTATCAAAATTTCATCAACAACTGGCAACAACAAGCATAAAAGGTCGATTAACAACAAAAGCAGATGTAGAAATGCAAGAGGAAATTGAAGCAAAAGAGAATGCAGAACGAGAAAAACAAGCTCGAAAAGAAGAAGAAGCAAAAATTGCAAAGAAAAAAATGGTGCGCCAAGAATCTGGTAAGATAACTAAAAACAGTCGTGTGTAATGTATTCAGAATCATCCACAAAGGGAAAGATTCCCTTACGAAAGCAAAATGTAAAGCAGATTGATATGTGACGTATTTCTGTCAAATTGATAATATAATTATTCTGTTCATGTTTCTATTTTTATCAAAACACTGTATTCTATATTAGGAAAAGAACTAGTTTTATTAATAATAAGAAAGGTAGTTTCTCTTCAAATGATCTTATTTTATATTACTTCTTCTAGAGTTAACACCGCAACAAGTCGATGATCTCTTACATTCAATCGATGGTCTCGATGAAGACAAGTTAAAAGAAATGCATGCAGAATTTATGAAACTCTGGTAAGTAAAAAAATGGTGAAAAACAAGAAAAGTCACTTTGAAAATTTTCAGTCGTAATTACGAATAAAATTTTCTCGAATAATAAGGCCATCCGAGATTTATACTAATATTAATAATAATCACCTTTCATACTTTTCCTTTTTTAGTCCCGATGGAAAAATGATAAAAGAAGTCTTTTCTAATGCTTTTCGAACTTTATATCCAAAGTAAGTTCTAACATACAGCAAATAGATTGGAAAATGATGCATACAATTTCTAATATTCTTATTGTAGAGGAAAAGTAAATAACTATTGTCGATACGCATTTAATATATTCGATCAAGATAGCACTGGAGCATTAAATTTTACTGAATATGTAATAGCTATGCATGCTCATGAATCAGATGATTTAGAAGATAGTCTTGGTTTAGTATGCATATTAGTTAATTTTTGTTTGACTATTTCTTAAAGAATTTTATTGTGTAGGCATTCGATGTATTTGATTATGATAAATCTGAAACAATCGATCAAAGAGAAATACTCCACATGATAACTTCTACCAATGAACTTCTCGGTAAACCTTGTGATATACCAAGTGCAAAAAATCTTGCGAAAAAAATTCTGGATACCTGTGATAAAGATCGAAATGGAAAAATAACAAAAGAAGAATTTTTAAATGGGTAAATAGAATGCGTTGTTCTCTGAAATCTTCTGAATATTTACTTTCATTATAGCTGCAAAAATAAAAAAGAGTACTGTGAAATCTTATTACCAAATTTTGAAAACAGTAAGTACCGAAAAATATCGATACTATTCTAAACATACAAATTGTATTTTATGAAAGTTCTTGATCTATAGTAAAACTCTGACATTAGAAGAAATTGTATATATTTCTGATTTTTATCGATCATTCGTAAACTGGCCATATGAATAAAATAAATGTTTTGTGCACAGATCGCTCAATTGACATTTAGATTTTGAGGATATGAGTGAAGGTGGAAAGAGCGAATCGAAGATGAGCTCATGTCAAAAGAGTCTGTATAAACCCATGTACCCCTAAAATATATCCAGTTGCATTGAAATAAAAGTCAAACGTTTTTAGTCGATTCAGTAATCTAAAATATGATTACATTTATGTTTTAGTTGCGACAGTCCTCGATCCAAACTATGAGGGCGAATTGGTATATGGTAAAAAGAGCGGAAATGGCATTTACACGTGGTCCGATGGTCGCCGGTACGAGGGACAATGGAAAGATGACATAAGACATGGACATGGTATCGAAACTTTGGCCAATGGTGAACGATACGAAGGAGAATGGAAAGCTGACAAGAAGAATGGAAAAGGTGTTCAGACTTTTTCCAACGGTAATCAGTACGAGGGAGACTGGAAAGATGACAAGAGAAATGGGAAAGGCGTTTTAACCTGGGCCGACGGCCACCGGTATGATGGAGGTTGGAAAGACAACAATAGGGATGGAAAAGGCGTTTTAATCTGGCCCGATGGCAGGCGGTACGACGGAGACTGGAAAGATGACAAGAGAAATGGGAAAGGCGTTTTAATCTGGGCCGACGGCCACCGGTATGATGGAGATTGGAAAGACAACAATAGGGATGGAAAAGGCGTTTTAATCTGGGCCGATGGCCAACGGTATGATGGAGACTGGAAAGATGACAATATGAATGGAAAATGTGTTTTCACGCTGCCCAACGGCGGTCGGTATGAGGGAGACTGGAAAGATGGGAAGAAGAATGGAAAAGGCGTTTTTAAATGGTCCAACGGCAATCGTTACGAAGGAGACTTTAAAGATGACACAATGACCGGAAAAGGCGTTTACATATGGTCCAGTGGCAGTCGATACGAGGGAGACTTCAAAGGCGATAATAGTCATGGACAAGGCATTTTTACCTCGACTGATGGCTCTCGGTATGAGGGAGGTTGGAAAGATGACAAGAAGAATGGAAAAGGCGTTCAGACTTTGTCCAATGGTAATCGATTTGAGGGAGAGTGGCAAAACGGTGAGAGAAACCCAAATGGTCGTCTTGTCTGTCCGAGTGGTATGCAATGGAACGGACATATCAATGATAACTTGATGCAAACAGCAAGATGATATGTAATCTGGTCGAACAAAATGGACTTATATTTATATATATATTAATGAGTTCGCTTACAACTATAATCATTTTATTGTATGATTTTTAAATGACAGTTTTGCGTGTCACATCATTGTATCACCGGTACCCCTACATTACGTTCTTTTTTTAAGTCTGGCTATTTGTCCTTTTTTAGTTGGTCCTGAATGCTTTTTGTCCGATTTCATTTTGTCCCTTTACAATTCGCAGTAATCATCTCTTGCCTTTTTACATCTTGTCCCAAAAGTTAAGTATTCATTTTTTATCACGGTAATACGAAATAAAATTTATGTAGAATTGTTCAGACTCTTATTTTCAAGCTCACTGTAATTCCATTTATATAGTCTTCAGTATCATAAATATCGTACGACAGCGTGGCTGTTTTAAAACTTGCATCTAGATCTGCATACACTTTTTTCTTTTTTTCTGGAAGTACAGCAGGGTATGGGTGTGTTTATTACAGTAACCTTACTCGGCTACCCGCATCTTTACTCACACCCACATCTTGATTTTTCCACTATTCGACATTTTAATCGTTCGACATTTTTATTTTCGGCGTTATTAGGGGGAATCAATCCGAAGGACATAAAATGTAAACTATATGATTCGATAGAATAGTTAACGCTCTATGCAACTATATCAAAAGAAGAAACTTCCGGGCGGATCACATAAATACAACAAACTACATAAAAGTACTAAAAATAATATAATCTACCTATATACTATATAATTTAACGTTATTGATTTTTTAATTATCTTGATTAGTTTTAGTTTCACTTTTTTTATGAAATAGAAGAAATAGATCCACAATACCGAAATGAAATGACATGATTGGTGATATTTAATATTTAGTTAAATATTCCATTCAAATTATAACTTATTCTATTCTTACAAAACTTAATAATTAAAATCCAGTATTAGGATGTGAGTGTTAGTATGGATGAGATAAATAAAATACACCCATACATAGACTCACACCCACTTTTAAATGCATCTATATATTAATGAAAGTTATTTCAGACTGTTTTAGAACGAAAACAAAGATTCACTTTGATAAAAGCCTCGTAGGCAAAGGGTTAGCCAATATTTTTCTTGTTAAATAATAAAACAAGTGAAATAATATCGAAAGAGCAAAAGTTTTTATATGTCTCTATAGACACGCCACAATAGTAAAATATTAATAGCGATATTGATTGATATCGTCCAAGCCATACGATTAGCGAGGGGATAAGAGGGTATTTTCCCTCCCAAATTTTGTTTTTTATATTGGCTTTCTCTCTGAGCATTTTAGAACGTACGTCTTTTCATCTTTTAGTAAGCACGACGAGCTGTACATAAACAAACTTGTTGTATCTTCTAGTACAAAATAGTTTTCTCTATATAAACGTAGGAAAAACTGCGTGCTGTACCACATACGAACAATTTCTGGCAGTGTGTGCTATTTCCTCTTTCAATTTAAACTAATATCTGTTAGAATCTTCAAGGAAAAAATTCTAAAAGCAGTAAAAAGAGATAAATAATTTCAGCGATATTTCTTTAGAAAAATTCTGTTCCACGAACAACAACGAAAAAATAACCATCTATTGAATAACACTGTTTCGAAAGCATCTCCTAACACTACATTTTAGTGCAATAAAAACGAAGATGAAAAACGTTTCTCTTTCATTTCGAAGACTTTCTCTCTTGAATCCCCCCTCTCTTCTCTCAGCAAAACTAAACGAAAGCTATGATTATAAAGAAGATCTTCTTACTTATCATAAAAAGAAATTAGCAAAATATGAAGCCGAAAAATGCGTAATGGAACAATTTCCATTACAAAAAAGAATATTAACACGTAGACATATATGATTGAATGGAGGAAAATAAATAATAAAAATTTATTTTTTACTTTCAACAGAACGAACTGAATATGGAACAAAAATTAAAATCTATTATAGGAATAAATATTATTTATGATACAATAGATTTTTGATGATTTAATAAATAAAAAAGTATTTTAGTATTATTTTATAATTTATTTACTAAATTTTATTCAATTATCAACATCTGAAATTGCTTCTATATATCGAATTATTTAACAAGAACATATCACATAACTTATTCTCTTAAGATCATTATATTCAATTTAAATATTTGTTTTTTTCTTCTATTGTTATTCATATCGGTTTATAAATATTCAGTTTTTAGAATATTAATGATCTTAAGAAATCTCATTTTTTATAAAATCTTTCTCATCATATCAATATTGATATCATTTAAACTTTATTACATTAAATCAAATATGAATAATAATATTATTGTTTCATTAAATTCTCACAAATTTGATTTCTCTGTTACTTATTTAATAATTATGATAAAATCATATTTTATTTTTGAAAACATTTATTAAATTGTCAAAGATTCACTTCAAATAATATTCTTATAAAAATAATATTCAGTACATTGATATATTGATTCGATTTTAATATGATAAAACTAACGATGAATATATCATATTATTCTTTATTTAACTTTTGACAAATAAAATGAATTTAGTTTTGTATTTCTCATAAAAATATTCTTCATCTAAAAATTATAAAAAGTTTATTTAAACAAACATTCAATTTTCGCATATGAATCTATACTGAGATATATATATAAATAAGTTTTCGAATATTCCTTTATATACAATACTTGCATTTTTATGATTGAATCTAACTATTGTTAAAATTAAAGCTATTTTATCTTTTTATTTTGAAAAAACTGACACGAGAATCAAATAAGGAATCAATGAACAACAGTCTCTCTCTCTCAATACTTAATTAACAGCAACCAGACACATATCTTTTTATCTTATCACGTGCGCTTTCTAACACTATTTCTTTATTTATTTCGATGAAAAAGGAATTTAAAGTGAGATATTTACAAAACTCTTATTTCTTTCGAAATAATTACAATAAAACATCAAAAGTTTAGAAATTCAATTCTTTGAAATACTTTCATTTTGGTAAGTTTGTTTTTTGAAATAATATGAAAAATGAATGAAAAAGAGATTGATATACTATTCATTTGGTAGGTAAAGCTGTAGATTTTTTACTGTAAATAAAAATAAAATCGATTGTCTACTTTTATCCAACCATCTTAGATATTATATTAGTTTTATCAGTGAGATTCGGTCACAACTCAAATTTGACTAGTCAGAATTGAAATTTCTGTTTTGGCTGAGAATACA